TTTTCTATAGAGGCTTTTTATATTCTAATCAGTATATATTCTTATCAATATTATCAATATTTAGAGGATTTCCCTCTTAAGATAAGAAACTCTTCTTGGCGCCTATTTTAGTATAAAATATACTTAAAGTAAGTGGGATATCTTGAAAACAAGAATACAATTTTTTCGGTATCGAGTTTCTTATCGGAAACGAGCGTTTCTTTCCGTCCGGGGAATTATTCTCATTACCGGACCTATAACGGCACGCGGACTCGCCTCATAATACAGAAAGTGGCAATGAACTCGATCCCGTGATTGGGAGAATATAAATTTATGATTGTCCTCGAAAGGTGTCCCCACGCTAGAAACACAGCCGCGCGTATTACGCCAGAACCGGTCGGCCGGGTTTTCACGGGTGTTACTTGCCTTCTCGCGATATCCGTGACATTGACATTAACGTTGAGCGCTGATACCAACAAATCGGCGTAATTTTTCAGTTCGCGTCGTTCAAAATCCGACAATTTGTTCCGACAAAATTCGATTTACGTAATTTTCGTCGATGTCTTACGCGAGATGAGACCACCTGTCGCGATGGAAAAAAATTCCGTCATCGATAAACGTCACGGGTCTTTTTATTATCTTGCGCAACAAAAGACGAAAATATTTCTTCATTTTTATCATCAGCCTTACAAAATGATGAAGGAAATCGTGAGTCAAACATCCTCTTGAAGAATGCGTAATGCAGAATTTCGTGCACGTAGGGGCTGGCTGCGGCACCAGGTGTGCATCGAAGCGTGCGCGGTTGATGGTAATGAACTTTCGTGAGGCAAGGCCGCCGGGATGATTTCATAACGCGAGCGCAATAGCTTCGTGTTCCCGTGCTCTCTGCAGTGTAACAGCATCGTTCGCGCGCGTACACGCCTTCAGACGCGGAGAAAGGGACGGGTCGGGTCGAGACACCTTGCGAGAGGAATCGAGAGGGTCGCCTTCGAAGCGGGAGCGAGACAATCGTACGAAGGAACGACACACAGAGAGGAAACGGGAGGACTCGACGGTACGTTGACTTACATAATGACTCCCCGCGACTCCATGAGATATACATGTGTGCACACGCGCGATTCTCTGTCGTCAATTACAAGCGACGCAACTAGAGAACATAAATCTCGCGTCCGGAAATTATTATATTCAAGAGAAGATGCGCGTTTATTGTTAATACCACTTACATTCTTTTTCTATATAGCCGAGGTTGATTTAAGGTGCGCGTTTTAGGCACACTTCAAGAGCGAGATCTGCTTTCAGAGATATTGCCGAAGTCGATCCATTTACGCGCGGCTTTGTGTGTCTGTGTTCTCAACATATTTTATTTGAAATTACACTTTTATCCAAAGCACACACATTATCTCGCTAGATTTGGTGGATATATAACTCTCGCTGCTTCTCTTCCTTGAATATGAAAGTTCTCTACCTCTCGCGATTTTGATCTCAAGTAAATAAAAAAAAAAAAACAAATGCCCAAAGCTGCAAATTGGTGGTAATATCGAGGGTATTCGAGACGGTGCATCATCGCAAAGTAATTCTCCGTTACCACAGTCGAAATGCGTCACAATTTTTTATCGTACGCACTCAATGCTCGTCCCGTTAGATCACCGACGGTAATTTATCGATCACCGTTGGACCGCGAAGACGTAAAGGAAATGCTTGCTCGCGCAGCAAAAAGCAGTCATTCAGTTTTTGGTGCGTGTAAGACTCGATGGACCGTTCGAAAGATGCGACAAGATTTCTTGGCTCCAGAATATCGATCGGAATCGATGTTATCCTTGAATTTTATATTTGTTTGCTCTTGAACTTATTATTTTGATATAATATCGAACAACTTCTGCTGATTTGTAGTAGCCCGTTCATCTTGTGCGTTTAATTATCGCGCGTGTGCATGTCGCTGCTCGTCCGTTGAATAATCATATTGTGCAAGAACGTTGTCGCGTAGTTAGCGCTTGCACAATGAAGACCACGTACGGAGATTACAATCGCGTACACGAAGCCTCGACACCTTGACCGTGGTCTCCCCCGGAGAGTGTGATGCGGCGTAATAATTTAGTCCGACCATTGTACGAGACAAGAATCGTAGCGGTAGGCCAAAGTGCACGTGTACGTGATGGGTTGTTCGTATAACGTGGAAGCACGCAGGACGGACCCACGACTCCGATTGTGGGACTGACGAGACACGAGACTTCCATTCACGCGGAGCCCAGTCGTCGTGATTCCCAGTATAATTCGATTCATCGAAATGCACCTGTGCACATTGCAGAATGCTAATTCTCGAATATCCTGAGACTCGTTTCCATGTAGAAGATTCATTGATGGTCAGTGAGTTTCTTGCAAAAATATATGCGCGCAAGAAGGCGTTTTCTCATCACATGAGCGCGTAAGAAGATTTAATAGATTTAAGTAAAATAATAGATGGTTTTTATTATACGCCTAATAATTTAATTATTCTCTAAGAAGATGCCGAAATATTTTATTGATGTTTTGTTTCGTTTCTATACATGTATATGTATATTGCAATAAACGTCGCTCGGAATCATACTTGTGCAATAATAAGAAAAAGAGCTTTCAAGATGAGAAAGCGAGGATAAGAGGGAGCATCTATACAAGAGAGAGGACTTATTGTGTGATTTGTAGAATATCTCGGGAGTGCGGCCTGTCACGTTTCAGGAACAATCGAACTCCGAGTCCTGTGCGCGACATTCCAATTTCAAAAGATATTGCGAAAACGCGTCGCATAAGGAAAGAATAAAAGGAAAGAGGGAGATACGCGTTGTTGTATGAGAATAATCCGCGCGCGAATCGCGCGCGAGAGGAAGAACCGAGGAGAACCCAAGAGAATTCAGTATTCCGTGTGCAGTCACTATACAACTCGTTCGACTGGGGGCGAGGGTGTTAACGAGAATTCGCCCACGTGTGTTCGCGCCATATGACGCTCGTACCGTTGTTAAAGCCCCGGTAGACCCTCGAGAGACGGCAAATGCATCCCGCTGGTAATTACTATGATAAACTGCACGCGGGAGACGTCGCATTGACGTCGTCCCCAGCAAATTTCGCCGAGCTTATTCCCGATATAATCCTGTTTCATGCTTTTCATTAACTTTAATTCTACATACGCGCTCGTACGATTGTGTCACGCTCGATCGCATAGCACACTAACAACCGTGTTTCTTTGATTGCAGCGCCGGTATACGATCAAGATACCACACAGATCGCAGAATACGATGGTGGAGGTATGTATATCACGCCAGCTTTTATTGGATCTAATCAATCGACACGCGCACCGTGACATTAATTGCGTGTCTTAGTTTAAAGAGCCACACGCATTGTTCTCTGATTAAAAAATTAAAATATTAGAAATGGCCAATGTGTGTAATCCATATTAAACACAAGGTTAAAAGTTTGCGCGCGCGTAACGTGAACAATTCTCTTTAAAAAGTTTATTATATCAGTGTTACGAAAATGATGATTTTAATTACGACCATTTTTGTTACATTTATTAATATCAGATTATTTTATTGTAGCTCCTGTTGGATGTTACTTCAACTTTCAGCGATATCAAGAAGGCGATCGAATCGTTACGAGCGAACCATGTTTAAATTGCACGTGCCACAATCGAATGCTGATGTGCTATCTAAAGGTGTGTCCCTTCACAAAAGCGATCGGTCAGGACTGTACAGTAGAGAAGCGTCCGGATCAATGTTGCCCTGTGGTCACATGTCCGGAAGTACGGGTTCAACTGTTGACGTCGACGACGAGCGCACCAGCAATCTCGGATTCCATGGAGGTCGGTTTCCATGATAATTACGGATGCTATATCAACCAGAGATTTTACGCAGACGGCGCCATGCTGCCCGTGGACTATACATCTCCTTGCGAGCTCTGTTACTGCATCAGGAACAGAACCACTTGCGTCATGCAAGAATGTACTTTACAAGTGGCGGGATGTAAACCGGTCTACCAACCGGGTGTATGTTGTCCAATCAAATACAATTGCGGTAAGTTTTATCGTTTCTGGAACATCTCGCTGTTCACTTTGTGAGCATCCACAATTATCAATTCTTTTTACAGAATACGATGACGAACTTAGCACCACGGTTGGTCCCACTCCAGGACTCATCGCTACCACAACACTACCTCCCGGCGTGTCGCCGCAATGTTACCACCAAGATAAAGTCTATGAAGACGGTGAGCTAATTCCGACTCATGCTTGCGAACATTGCTATTGCTTCCGTGGAGAGATTGCATGCGCTGTACAACAGTGTGGAAAGCCAATGCAAGCGCACGGAAAGAATTGCACGGCCTTGCCGCCACCGGAAGGAGAATGCTGCCCGACAACATATCAGTGTGGTAAGTAATTTCATGTAATGACTGCGTGTGAGATGATTACAGTGTATTATATATAAATGAATGATCTAATGAAATTTATTAGCTAATGAATAATATACATTAAAGAATTTTTATGTTTGTATGTGATTATCACAGAAGAAGACGACCAAAGAATCACTATTCCATCAGAAGAAAGTGAGGAACAACTTCCGGAACAAGTACACGATGTACAACTGACCGAGTCTCCGATGATAATCGATCAGCAAGGAACGGAACATCCTCAGAAAGAAACATTCCCAGGTGCCGATAATGATATACCGCATGCTCCTGAGGAAGAAGAAGGTATTCAAGGAACTATCGAATACGTTACTCAGGAACAAACTCCGTCTACCGAGAAATCTCAAGAACAACCGGAAGAACAACCCGCAACACAACCGGCAGAAGAGACCGTTGCACCTGAAGCAGAAACTACTGCTTCTGCTGAGAAAATATCTACTCCTTCTCATGAATATGTTACCGAAACGTCTCCCGCTGAAGTGACACCAAAAGAACAAGTAGAAGAAGAAACAGAAACATCAGGCGCACAAAAACCTGAAGATTTAACTACTGAAGCACCTGCTGTCGAACTACCGGAAGTGTCGTCTACTTCAGAAGGTTTGCCACCGAAAGAGGAAACAGTTACTACAGAATATGTATCTGAGGAACATGTAACCACAGAAAAAGGTATTGAAAAAGAAGGCACTCCTGTTATCACAGAAGAAGAACAATCAACAAAACTTCCAGTTAGCGAAGAAGAGCAACCTGAAAGTGCGGTAAAACCAGAACCGGAGGAGACTGTTAAACCACACGAAGAACTTTCAACGCAGGTCCCAGAAGAAATAACTGAGGCAGAAAAACCAACAGAAGAAGGAGAAATCAGTGTGACAAGAGCATCGGAAAAACCAGAAATTTCGACTGAAATTGTTGAGAAAGCAACATCGCCGATCACAGAAATAAAAGAATCTGATACTACTCCTAGTATTCCTGAATCTGTTACCGAACAAACAAAGAAAGATGAGGGCAAAGGAGAAACTCCATCAGGTGAAACTTTAGCTACTCAGACGGAATTACCAATAGAGGAAGAAACTGCGACTATGGGTCATGAAGTATCTAGTACTGAAGAAGCCGTTGAGAAAGAAGTATCACATACAACAAAAGCCGTTACGGAAGAGACCTCATCGACTGAAGTAAGTCCGTTTGAAGAACAGAAACCAACTGTTAGTGAAGAAGAACAATCACATACAACAAAAGCCGTTACAGAAGAGACCTCATCGACTGAAGTAAGTCCGTTTGAAGAACAGAAACCAACTGTTAGTGAAGAGGAACAAAGACCAGAAGAATCAACATCTGAGCATGCAGTAACTAAAGAACATGCTACTATTGGCGCTAAAAAAGAAGATGGTCTGCTTGAGATTCCAGTAATAAGTGAAAAACCTATCACAGAACAACAACCAGAAGAAGAATCAACTTCAGAAATTCCAGCTCAAGGTCCAACCGGTATACCTATTCCCGAAAGAAGTCCAGAACACAAGGCAGAAGATAAGAGTGTATATCATGTGACTGAAGATTACCAAGGCGCTACACGTCCAGAAATTATTCCTGATAATTTGATGACTGAATCTCCACAGAAAGAATCTGCAACGAAGCTTTTAGAAGAGCACGAAACAACACTGGCTCCGTCACAAGAGACTGTAAAACCAATTAAGAAAGAAGGAACAGAATTACCAGCAGAAGAAACCACACAACCGTTAGAAGAAATTACAGAAATGCAGCCTAAACCTGAAATTACTAAAGTCACAACAGAAGAAACAAAAACTGAAAGCACACCTGTTACACAAGCCGAAACACAAGCTACAGAACCTTCTGCGACTACAACTGTTTATGAAAAATCAACAGAAAAAGCTCCAGAAGAAACTGAGAAACCTACATTACCAGAAGAAACTGAGAAACCTACATTACCAGAAGAAGCACTAGAAACCAAAGTACCAGAAACAGAAATTCCTTCAACAGAAACTCCAAGCGAAAAAATGCCTACAAAAGGACTTGGTATTGAAGAATCTGGCGAGAGTTCTTCTGAAGAAGTCAGTGAACAAGATGTAAAAGAGGTGCAACCAAAAAAAGAACCAGAAAAAGAAGAAGAAGAAGGAACAGAATTGTCAGTCACAACTGAATCAGAAGCAGTTCCTGAAACGCCCGCACTTGTAGAACACGAACATACAACAATTTCTACAGATCTTGGAGATAAACAAGCAACAGAAGGCGAACAAGTTACACCTATAGTTCCTTCTGTTGAGCAGACAACGCATGTATCACAAACCGAAGAAGAGAAAACTGAAATTACTCCAGTTGAAAAAGAAATTCCAGCTACTAGCAAAATACCAGTTGAAGAACATGCTACAGAACAATCTACCGCATTACCAGGCGTAAGTAAGGAAGAAGAAAAAGAATTGCAAACTGAAGAACCTGTTTTAAAAGGAGAACAAACTACAATAAAAACAATAGAAGAAGCCAAAGAAAAATCTACAACGCAAGTATCTCCTATTGAAAAAGAAACAACTAGACAACCTGAGCAATATACAGAAAAAGTTTCGGAAGAAGCTACTGTTACAGAAACTTATGGCGTACAAGAAACCGAAGCACCTAAATTCGAAGAAACTTCTGAGAAATCAGGAGAAACCACATCGCCGAAAGATACTGAACAACAAACTGAAACAACAATAACAGAAAAAGAACCGTCTGCAGAAACGGAAGTTACCAGTATTGAACAAACAGAATCGCCTGTAGAACCATCTATCGGAGCAGGTGTTGAAAAAGAAGGCGAAGAAAAAGTATCTGTGTCTACATCCACGGAAAAGATACAAACGCAAGAAACTCCTGTAAGTGAAACTGAATTCACAGAGAAACCAGCTGTCGAAGAGAAGACTGAGAAGATGCAGACTGAATCTCCCGTTACTGAAGAATATTTACCGAGTCAACCTTCGATTCTTTCAGATCGCAAAGAAGATCAACAACCAGTAGAACCAATACCAAGTAAAGAAAGTGTATCAAGTGAAGAGCAAATAACTCAAAAGCCTATTAAAGAAGAGGAAGAAACTACAACACACGAAGAACCACAAAAATCGACAGTTTCTTCTGAAATAGAAACAACTCATGTTCCATTCTCAGAAGAAGTTACCGAATCCGTTATACCAGAAGAAAAACCGGTTGAGGTTACTAGTACAACAGAATCTAAGACAGTTGAAAATGTTACGCAACCGGAAATGCAGACAATACCATCTATAAAAGAGGAACAAACTCAGAAACCAATAATTGAACAAGAACCCGAAATACATGATGTAAGAAAAGAACCTCAAACAACAATTTCTGTAACTCCAGAGGAACTTCAAACAACAATTTCTGTAACTCCAGAGAAACCTCAAACAACAATTTCTGTAACGCCAGAGGAACCTCAAACAACAATTTCTGTAACTCCAGAGGAACCTCAAACAACAATTTCGGTAACTCCAGAGAAACCTCAAACAACAATTTCTGTAACTCCAGAGGAACCTCAAACAACAATTTC